GCAATTCTCTTGCCTCAGCCTCCTGAGTAGCTGGAACTATAGGTGCCCGCCACAACGCCCAGCTATTTTTTTTTATTGTTGCAGTTTGGTGGGAGCCGGGTTCGAATCTGCCACCTTTGGTATATAGGGCCAGCACTTTACCCACTGAGCCACAGGCGCTGCCTGAGTTTTAAGAATTCTTTATGTATTCTAAATATCTGACTTACCAGATATGACTTGCAAATCTCTTCTCCCATTCTGTGGGTTGTCTTTTTACTTTTTTTTTTCTTTTTGGAGACAGAGTCACACTCTGTTGCCCAGGCTGGAGTACAGTGGCATCATCATAGCTCATTGCAGCTTTGAACTCATGGGCTCAAGTGATCCTCCTGCCTCCATCTCCTGAGTAGCTGGGACTACAGGATTGTGCCACCAAATCTGGCTAATTTTTCTATTTTTTGCTGAGATGGGGTCTCATTCTTGTTCAAACTGTCTTTATACTTCATTTATTTATTTTATTCATTTTTGTTTGTTTGTTTTTAGAGACAGAGTCTCACTTATTGCCCTTGGTAGAGTGCTGTGTCATCACAGCTCACAGCAACCTCCAACTCCTGGATTTACGCTATTCTCTTGCCTCAGCCTCCTGAGTAGCTAGGACTATAGGCACCCGCCACAACGCCTAGCTATTTTTTTGTTGCAGTTTTGCCGGGGCTGGGTTTGAACCCACCACCCTGGGTATATGGGGCCAGCGCCCTACACTGAGCCACAGGCGCTGCCCTTATTTTTTTTAAAGACTTGGTGGGGAGTCTCACCATATTCCCCAGGCTAGTCTTCAACTCCTAGCCTCAAGGGATCCTCCTGCCTCATCTTTCCCAGTTGCTGGGATTACCAGCATAAGCCACTGTGCCTAACAGATTGTGGTTTTTTTTTTTTTTTTTGTAGAAACAGAGTCTCACTTTGTCACCCTGGGTAGAGTGCCATGACTTACAGCTAAGAGCAACCTCCAGCTCTTAGCCTAGGCAATTCTCTTGCTTCAGCCTCCCAAGCAGCTGAGACCACAGGCACCTGCCACAATGCCCAGCTATTCTTTTTTTTGTTGTTGCAGTTTTGCCAGGGCCGGGTTTGAACCTGCTACCGCGGTATATGGGGCCGGCGCCCTACTCACTAAGCCTAGGGCGCCGCCCTAGATTGTGCTTTTAAAGAATAACTTTGTTTTTACAAAAAACTTGAGAAGATGGTACAGAGATTTTTCATATTTCTCCCCTACTGGTTATTACTATTATTATTTTTATTTATTGATTGATTGATTTTTGAGACAGTCTCAAGCTGTCACCCTGGGTAGGGTGCTATGGCATCACAGCTCACAGCAACCTCCAATTCGAGCTCAAGTGATCCTCTTGCCTCAGTTTTTCTATTTTCAGTAGAGACAGGGTCTCAATTTTATAAAAGTGTTTCATTTTGATGAAATCCAATATATCTATTTTTCTTTCATTGTTTATGCTTTAAAAATGTTGTATCTTAGCGTGGCACTTATAGTTCAGTGGTTAGGGCGCCAGCCACATA